CCCCGTGTTGCCCCCGCCCCCTCCCTGGGCGGTGGGCCGGCGGTTTTTTTGGGGGGACCGAACCCTCGGCGGGAGCGCCGCCACGCTTCCCAAGCGGCGCACTGTAGCAGTGCACCACCGGGCCGGCCCTATCTGTAATTTTTTGAGAAACCTCCATACTGTTTTCCATAATGGCTGTACTAATTTACATTCCCACCAATAATGTACAACCAACCTAAATGACCATCAATGGATAACTGGATAAACAAAATGTGGTATATATACGCAATGGAATACTACTCAGCCATAAAAAAACAATGAAATTCTGCCATTTGCAGTAACATGGATGAGCTTGGAGAAAATTATGTGAAGTGAAATAAGCCAGGCACAGAAAGAGAAATACTACATGTTCTCATTCACATGTGGAATTTAAAAATTTGACCTCATAGAAGTAGAGAGTAGAACAGTGGTTACTAGAGAGTAGTAAGGGGAGGTGAGGATGGGGAGCAGGATGTCAATGGATACAAAATACATGAGCGATAGGAATAACAAGATCTAGTGTTCTATAGCAATATAGGGAGACTGCAGTCAACACAAATTACTGTATAACTTCAAGTAGCTAATTGAGAAGATGCTGAATGTTCTCGACACCAAGAGGTGAGGTGATGGATATGCTAAATACCCTGATCTGATCATTGCACACTGTGTAAATGTACTGAAATACCACAATGTACTCCATAATTATATACAATTATCATGGGTCAATTAAGAAAAAATAAATTAAAAATGAAAAAAAATTTTCAGACACAGAAGTAGGTTAGAGATTACCAGAAATGGGGGCGGGGGGAGTAGAAGGGTAGAATTATGAGAAACGATTGCTTAATGGATACCGAGTTTATGTTTAGGATGACACAAAAGTTTTAGAAATAGAGGTAGAGGTTACAAAGCGTGGTGAATGTAATTAATTCCACACAATGGTATGTTTTTACGTGCTTAAAATGGCAATCCTTATGTTATATGTGTTTTACTACAATTAAAAAAATGGGGAAAAAAAGCAAAGGTGAAATAAATATATTTATAGATAATCAGAATCTGAGAGAATTTAGCACCAACAGAACCTCACCAAATGAACTTCTCAGAGATCTGCTTCAGGAAAAAGAAAAATGATTCCAGATGGAAGATCGCAGATGCATAGTGGAATGGTTAGCAAAGAAATTGGCAAATATAAACATTGGTAATTAAATTGCTAAATAAAAGCATTGTCTCTTAGGAATAATAAATATGATAATATCTAGTGTGGGATTAAAACAAAAGATAGAACCAAAAGTACTGGCCAGCAATAATAATTCTCTTTTGGCTCTGTGAAATAAATAAGGTGACCAGTATTGCTGTGTCCATAACTGAAACTTCAGAAGTTGAAGAAAACATCAGCTTGCGTGACTAACTCTGAGCTTGTTTCTCTGTGAAAGAGTCCATAGTGGACACTAAATTCATATCTCTCCATTGGATTGTTATGAAGTTCACCTTCAAAAATCCCAGTTTCCCAGATGGGCCTCTTACCCTACTCAAAATTTCTGACCTAAGAAATCATCTGGATATTTTTAATAAGTCGAAATGTGTATATTGTCCCTCTATACTGACGACTTTCACACTGTGCTTTTTCATTGATACATGTATATTTACTTTCAAACCTTCCCTTTAAAAAATGAACAAAAATGTAATATTTTAAGGTACTTTAAAAATAATAAAATCTTATGTACATTATAATTTATGAGGTTATGTCCAAGGTGTGGTCTATTGACTACCCACATCAGACTCACCTGGGCCACTTATTAGAAATACCACAATATTCCTGATAAATCAGAATCTCTAGAGGTGGGACCCAGCAATCTGTATTTTAAACAAGCTCCTTTAGTTATTCTTCCATCTAAAACTAAAGACCCACAGTCATAGGTGAGTAAAGGAGAGGGTATCATTAGGAGTGGAGAAGAAACAGTCGAGAGGTGACATTAATCCTTGAGAGACAGCTTTGGGTGAACATCTGTCACTATCAGAGAAATGGAAGAATTGTGATGATGTCACTCCCAAGTGAGATCACCTGTTCTTAGTGCCACTTCTCTCCCATTTCCTCGCAAATCCCTACCCCCAATACACACACACACACACACACACACACACACACACACACACACACACACACCCTAGAAGTTGCTCTGCAATATTAAGACTAGAATTATAAGAAGGCAAACAACCATTTGCAGGTGGTACCTGCAAAATGAATAACAACGAAAGCCACCTTGGAGGAGGTGTCCAGATTGTGTAGGTCCTTGGCTTTTACTCTAAGTGAGATAGAAAGCCATTGAAAGGTTTTGAAAAAAGAAGATGTGAACTGACTTGTGTTTTTAAAGAACTACTTTGGAGACAAGGAGAAAAGTAGGGAAACCAGCTAAGAGGCTACGGGAATCACCAGGTGAGAGATAGCGATGGGATGTGGCAGTAGAGATGGTAAGAAGCGAACAGATTCTGAACGTGTTTTGTAGATAAAGTCAACAGGAGTTACTGACAAAATGACTCTAGTGTGTGTGAGAAGAGGTGGAGTCAAGGGTGACATTAAGAATTCTAGCCTGAGCAAAGAATGGATGGAGTTGACATTTACGGAGATGGGAAGACTGTGGGAGGAGCAAGTTTGGAAGGGGGAACGTCGAGTTTCTGCAGAGATATGTTAAGTTTGATTTGCCTATTAGATGTCTAAGAGGACATACTGAGCAGGCAACTGGATTTGAGCCTGGAGCCAGGTATATATCAGAGATGAGGAAACATAGATTCAGGACTGTTGTGACACTAGTCCAAGGTCACACAGCTAAAACACAGCAGGACTCAGGACTGTTATACTGCTTCCCCAGTAATCCAAGGTGAACCAAGGCTTGGTTTTTGAGAGGAGAGAACAGAGTGGAAGTTTTCAGGCTGCTAGCCCATGGCGGTGTGACTGTGATCCGCCCTGTCCCACTCTGAGTGGTTTCTAGGTTAGGACTCCATCTGTACTCCCTTTCAGCCTGTACTTGCCTTTCGAAGAAATCATTTCTCGAGAAAGGGGCACCCTATGTATTTCTGTGCCTGTGAATAGAGTGGGAGGAAGGGAGAGTTGTCGAAGCTTTTTTCTTTCTTTCTTTCCTTTCTCTTTACTTTTCTGGAAACTGTCCGGGGGATGTGGTGTTGCTGCTGCTGGTGGCAGCAACTGCTACAATCAGAGCTATTTTGAAGCAAAGAACTAATTTACTGCATGAATGACTTTAACTCAAAAGAAGAAATAAGGACGATCAGGAGTCCTGAGGGAACAGAATAATAGGGTAATTTACACAGGGAGATGAGGGAGATGGGAGAAACATGCAGGGTAATCCTTTTGCATAATCTTTATTTTATATTTTTGCCCTTTCTCCCTTTGCCTCTGTGGGGATAGAGCCTCAGCTCAGAGATGCTTCTGGCCACCCCCAGGGTAGAGACCTGAAAAGGATGAAAGGGCAAGGAGATGGGGCTGCTCAGGTTGGGGAAGAGAAGGTCAAAGGTGGCTTCATGGCTGTTTTCCAAAGCCAGCCTCTGCTGGGGACATGGTCTGTGGGAGGCCCCACTGAGCCCCGGGAGAGGTGGGGGATTGCAAAGGACAGCTTCATATGCCCAACTGAGTGCTGTATACAGAAGGGCTTCTATCTGTACCCCTAGCTTGGGATGGCCCCAAACCAAGAGCTCACTGTTACTCCAGATTCTCAATTTCCCAGCACAGAGAGGATCTGGGCTGGCAGGACTCTTGGAGAGTTTAGTCCAAGATCCACATATTCCAAGACAGGAAAATCACAAAGACCCAGCTTCAAGGTCTTACTCCAGCACATACTAGGTATGTGACATTGGCCAGATCCTGAAGCCCTGAGTTTCCTCGTGTAAAATCAAGATTGTCACTTCTTCACTGAGAATCATGAGGATCAAATGAGATAGCGCCTGACAACACACTTTGTATACTGCAAGGCACCATACAAATGGTAGTTACTGTTACTGTTAGCTGTCAGCGTAGGAAACTGAGTCCCAAAGGTGTTAAGTGATTCA